TATCATTGCCTAGTTAAACCTCCAATTGAACGCCCCTATATGTTAGCCCGAGTTGGATCATCATACGGTCTTCACCCGAGAATAATAGCTCCGATCAGGACTCAAGAGTTTGCTCGGATGAAAATACACAATATGTAGTACCTATAGACACGTGACCCTGTCAAGAAATAAGAACCAGGCACTCAACGTGTTCGACTTACATGCCTTCGAACAGACCTTGTGCCCACTCCTAACCCTTATAACAGTTCTTTCACGCCTTCGTAGACTCATTACCCGTGATTCAACCTCCAGGTGTCACCGCTGTATAAGAGGAACTCGGGGCTCATGAATAAGCCTCTGCATCATACCCGTATACGGGTACAAAGACGTCGCTTCAAAAAGAACACATAACAACGATCACAGTGAAAAGAAGCATGTGGATCACAAGGACAAAATCAACTTGAATTACAGTCCGACTCGAGCGTGATACATAAAGATACGAGCACCCATATCTACAAGCTCTTTACAACCTCTGTTAAGTCGCTGTAAAAACTGAAATTTGAAGACGGGCCAGAATCCGGATCCATTTAAAGGCTGAGGTCGACGGGCACACAGCCAATGGAGACGAGGCCATCTGAAAAAGCGGAAAATCAGCATTCTGTCAAAATATCAGGTTAGGAGATTCAAAGTGGTTTACCGTGAGAGTTGTCTGAGCAGCAGACCGGGTTTGCAGAGCTGTAATTTACTTTAGTTCCGGACCATCTGGGCCAAGAGGAAGACGGTAGGGCACTCACCAGCCAGAGCCACCAGCACCGATGACAGTGACGGGGGTGCAAGTAAGACCAACGAGGACGTTGATACCCTGGACGATCACGCCCAAAATTCCGAGCTCCTTGGCGATGTCGCGGTCACCGGCATTGCCTACAGTGTTGCAGCACTGAACGGGCCCGGTGGTGCATTGGCTGGCCGGAAGACCTGTGGCAGCCGCAAGGGTGGCGAGAGTAGCAAGAGAGAAGAGTGTGTATTGCATGTTTGAGAAGATGAGGAGACTATCGCTGTGTGAAGTGAAGAACCTTGGTCGAACCAGTGAGGCCTTTATACGTTTTCGTTCCAACGTGTAATGTAGCCTAGCCTGAACGTGAGGTATACGGGTCTGTGCATGAGCTGTAAAGCATGCTGTGGAGTATGTCAAAGTGGAGCAACTATTTGATTAACAGCAAAGAAACAATGGAATCCCCAAAGATGAATAGACGTGTAAAGTTGATGAATGATGTTGGAACGAGGAAAAACATCTCGTGCGGTGATGTGGCGAGGATTCTTCACACGACGAGTCGGTAATGCACTCAGATTCAATAAACAATGTCCCTGGAATAGTCTTTAGCGACGTCGTCCAATTGAGACAATGGACAACGATGTTCTTACCCAGATGATTGATGCCATAAAACGATTAATACGATGTGCCTTTGGTACTGGAACATCAGAAAAGAACCGCATGGAAGATCGTTGGACGTCATATACATTGATGTCTGTATCGCGTTCACGAATTCCCCGATGACAACCTGCGTCAGTGGCTTAAACCTACATCGTCTAGTGTATGTATTGTACCTTTATCCTTGTTACCCTGTTATTCCTGGCGTCTTCCGCGGCGAATACCAGCTCTCACCACCTCCACTGACCCCAGAGAAGAGTTTGCACCGTCCTATTTCAAATTCTACAACATAGTGAGCTAATTGAATGTAACATGAGTCACCGTTTGATAACTGCGTGAATTCGAATCATCGGCGGACCTTCAAATATACAAAACGATACGTCAGGAGATCATTTGAATATAAGTATATGCGAGGCGTTAACGAGGCGCAGACCACTAGATTCAGCATCGAGGGTAAGAACAGCCTCGCAGTCCAAAACCATAGCACCCCAAAGAACCGTCACCAAATCTTACTTGGGAGATCCAGGAAAGCGTGGTAATGTAGTGTCTTGCGGTTTCCAATCTGGATAAGGAACTACGAGAACGTTCTCAACCATGGTGGTCTGGAAAGTTCTCGGCCTTGGCTCTGGGTGTTGATATTACACGTGGACGTGGGATTGAACTCTCTTCGCGCCATTAACATTGCATGAATAGTGAACTCGAACCATAGTAGACCCAGGATGGAGCAGACAGGAGAGTGTAAAATGCACCTTCGTAGGCTACGGCTACAGGGAAGTATCTGTGGGGTCTAGACGTGGCCAAGGGATTTCTTTCAAAGTTCTTTGGAAACCGAGATCGAGGCATGTAGCGGTTACGAAGCTCGGTGCTGAGTAGAAGTTGACAGGGATGGTAGGATCTGAATTGTAGTTGTGGTTATCGGTACGATGACGCGGACGTGACAGCGTTAGAGCAGTTGCAGCGTGTCTACACATGGTAGAATACCTGAAAGTTGATTAGGTTGTGGAGAGGGAAAGGACTGAGGCGTACCGTTGTGGCAGAATAGAACCCGATGCCGGCTTATCAAAATCCTGTAAGCTCTGTTTTCTTTACCAAGACGACGCCGTATATTCAATCGCGTCGTCGATGCTCTAGCATGAGACTGCATGCTAGGAAATTAGCGAGGGCTCGATTGAGAATGATATGACGACGTACTAAAGTAATGACGGAAATGATTATGATGTTTTCTGGCACGGCGTCTCTTCTCTAAGAACGTATCGCCTTTGATACTAGAGGCATCAGAAGATATCTTTGGGAGTGGAAGAGGACTCACCTCGCCGTATTTATGCATAGCCAGTACTCGGTATTCTCCTTTTTTGCAGTGTCATGAGATGCGTCCATTTCGACTTCTGGGTAAATCCTCAGGATGAGGAAAGCTATGAAAGTTTCGTTGAGTGTTTGCCGATATCGTGCCCGATTCGATGTACGCTCGCTATCCAGCGAGACTGTTCGGGTGGGCTTTAGCGAGAGCTAGAAAGGAAGGACCTCTATGAGTGATGCACTGCATAACCGAAGCCTGGGGAGTGGTTGAGGTCACGGTGAGAGTATGGGAATTTGCCGAGGAATTTTTTTTCACGTCGAAACACGTGTATCCGAGTCGTCACGTGGCAACCAGCGTGCCTTGCTACCATAACGCGCACACATGTTACACTCCTTGGTGTCTTCGACCTGCAGCTGCGCCTTCAAATTCAATAAATATTCACAACGCAAGACAATATTCCCTGCACGTTGTATCCTCAGATACACCGCTGCGCTCTCAACTGTGTACTAAACGCTCCACGTGTGGCTCTCGGCATTGCTTCCCTTGCCGTAAGCTTACAGCTCTTCTGATGACCACGACGACGGTTGGACGGCTCTCGCCTTTTGCCTCTTATGTGACTTCCTCGCACACGAGAAACCTTAGTCTAACCAAAAGGACGATGAAAAACACCGTTCGAATGGCCGTGTGACGCTACCTGTGGGATACGTATATATATCAAGGTGTGTAAAGCTCAATTCCATCGCTTTGAACCATGCTCAACGGGAATTTTACTCTCCTCAACGACATCAAGATATCCTTCACCGACAGCGGTGCACCACCCAACGCGGATGACTACCCTACACTCATCATCTTACACGGAGGTGGATTTGGCGCCGGTACGTCAGCTTGCATCGTGCTCGGCCCAGAACACTTACTCCCTCTCTCTTACAGCTAGTTTTCAACCCATCCAATCCCTTGCCCCAGAAGCCAACCTCCGAATTGTCGCCCTTACACGTCGTGGATACACCGGCTCTACTCCTTACACCGATTCCGAGATGCAGGGTTTTCAAGAAGGAACGAGAGAAGCTTTGGAAGGCTTAGCGGTGGTTTTGGTCGCATTCATGAAAGCATTTGTCGAGAAGGAAAAGATACCTAGTAGCGGGGGTATAGCTATCATGGGGTGGTCAATCGGGAATCTTACAACGATGTCGTTGTTTTCCAACCCAGACGGGCTAGATCCGGACACGAAATCGTTTTTAGAGGTACATCTCAAGCATATCATCTTATATGGTACGTTACTCACCGTAGCACGCTACCTTGACCCATGAGTTTCACCTAAATACCCAGACCCACCGTATCAAGCCCTTGGACTCGACTTACACCCCTCGTTCCACACTTCACGCGTCTACTCACCATGGACAGACACCTCGATGCCCACTCTTGACGATAAAATCTCCAAGTTCTTTTATTGGGCTTCCTCGTCTTTCGAGCATAATCCCATCGCAACGCTGTCTACTACCTCCCCGGATGGGTATGACTTCCGACAACGTGCTAATCCAGGGAAATGTTTAGTCGATAGCTGGTCAGAAGAAGATAAAAAGAAGTATTGGGAAGCGAGTGGTGTACCTTCTGATGTCATTACGTGCGTTCCTGTCTGTTGCTTTGATCGGGTACCAGTCTCATAACGCGCTGAAAAGATTTGGACCCGAATTCGCGGCCCTTCTTCGACAGTGTACCTCCAAGGCACTCTTCAGCGACAGTCGCTTCCTACCAAACCTCCGATTCACGTATTTATACACCACACGAGGACCCTGGATGACGGTGTATGCGTATTTGGAGGTGAAGAGGTTGTATGAGGAGTACCTGCGAGGAGAAAACGCGAGTCTAGATATGGAGTTTGTGGGGATCGAGGACGTTGGGCATTGTGTGAGTGATATTAGGAATTTGTTTGGTGGTTGAAGCTCACGGTCAGGTCTAGGCTCATCAGGAATCTTCACAGCGTTTCGTGGAGGTTCTAAGAAAGGCTTTGGCTCGCCAAGTGTAAAAAGGAATGATCATTGAATGCATCCCCGGCTCCGTAGGGAAAGGCTTGGATTGAGTACTCCAATCGCCAAGTTCGTCATTCCCTGTTTCGGGAGACCTTGACCCGGTAGGATATAGGTCTCTTGTATGGAACCGGCCGTTTACGAGTTATGTATTAGCCTAGATATGGTACGAGTAACTTTGGGGTCAAGTCAATGATCATTTACCGATATACAACGAGAAGCAGGTTTTACTTCGCTTCCCCAACCAAGAATACGCACGCTGACTCTGACATCCCTGGTAGTATAATGGTCAGGACACGCGCCTGTCAGACGATGACTGAAAGATCTTCGCGCGAATCCTGGGTTCAACTCCCAGCCAGGGAGTCATATTCCCCATTCCAATTTTGCTATTCGCAGCTCATATATCAAACCCTTTCCGCGTATATCTTTGGTCGATATCACATTGCAACTTGGATGAGTATCTGACCTCCTACACAACACACGAAGAAAATGTTCCACGATGGGCTTTACTGATCGTCTCCAGGGTGAAATGGCCAAAATCACCGACTGCAGTTCCTGAGCACCTTTTCTGATCCGGGATATTATCGGCACATTAGCCGATGAATGGCTTTTCTAGCCGTTTGATTTGTACCAACGGCACAACCTAGACGCTCGCGGCAATCGAAGCGCCCGCCTGCGTGACTGTGCCCTTATAACGCTCTGTCTGGATTTGATGTATGAAAGAACTCGACCGCACCACATGTCTCTTCACGGTCAAGATCCGAATAGCTCAACAGCTAGCATGTACAAATCCAGCACTTAATCTCGGTCTCAACACACCGCCGTTGGGAAACATCCTACAAAGTGTTAGGTCCGATATTGATTATGATCTTTCCAATGATTTAACCATCTAATCATCCATGAACAAACAGGTACCCGAGGTGGAGTAAACTTTCGAGCGCGTTCCTGACTTCAAAAGGTATATAAGCGAATAACATGCACTCAAACTCGTTCTCATTCTCTAGTGCCCAATCCTTGCTAGAATGAAGTTCTCAATCCCAGCCACTGTCGTTGCACTCTCATTCGCTCTCTCATCCTCGAGCACCCCGATGGTAAAGCGTGCCACTCCCACACCCGAGCAATGCTCTCAATCACAATCGCAAGTGGGTTTGTACCATGGGAATTATAGCCCGGCATGTGTTGTTCTCGTACGTCTATTTCTGCTTCTTCTGTCTTATTTCATTCTCCGTATGCTCACGACTCCCTGTATAGTCCAACGCGTGTGTCAACCAACTCGCATCCGACTCGGTCCCGGACGAACCATGGCTCTCGTACATCTGTGTAGCAGCTGCTACATGCCAAGGCACCACCACAACTATCGGTGTAACGTCTTGTGTAAATGATCATGTGGCAAATACGAGTCCGGAGAATTTGGCTGCTCCTGATATCGCGGTATGGAGTGGCCACATCGAAACTACATGCAACACCGCCCCTCCGAGGTGTACGGCTACGCGTCAACAGTATATCGATTTCATTTATCGGACTTTGGATGAGCTCAATTCGAGCGTTTGGCCAGAGTAAGTTTCTTGCTCTCTCGTTTATCAGGTTTACATGGGCTGATTATATGGGGTCAAACAGTGCACAATCTGAGGTGATCGATATCTGGTGGAAAGCCTTGCAAGATTTCGCAGGAAGGTCGGATGATTTGTTGGGGTATAGCGATATGGTGAATTTCTTGCGTACCTCGAACTCTTAAAGAGGGCTCGACTATGCTACTATGGACGGAGCATTTACCGTGACTGTATCGCGTCTGCTAACTTTATGGTTCGCCATAATACGAGAGCAGCGTACTTGACGAAGTAGCTCTAGATCTTGCTACCCAATGTCATTGTGTTTAACTTTGAGCTCTAAGGATAACACATACAAAGCGGGTTGCGATCTCGAAGGGATGGCATGATGCCTGGTATCTCCCCAAAACGCTATCCTGTCCTGGATTCGGACGCTCGGGCAATATCCTTGATAGTATATGAACTAGTAGTGTCACGCGTCTGTCATGGATATACGAAGGGTCAATATGGTGCGTGCAAACACTGGGTTCTGGCTCAACTCGCAGTCAGGGAGTAATAGAACTGATAGTGACCATTCAATCTCTGTTCACCACCGGGTGAAACATATCCAGCCATCAGGAGGTCTAAAGAGCGCTAAAATTTTCATAAATAGCAGCTGTTCTGCCTCCAGCCTTGTCTGTAAGTAATCATCAGTGGGGGTAGCATTGTTCAATAGTCACAGATAATAGTTGGGTGCTGGTGTTTTGGTCAGTCAGGTGCGTGCTTGAAGTCCTGCTAATGAATGGTTCATGAAACCTAATCCGGTATGATTCGAGAAGTCGGAATGGTCAAATTTCATCGACATATTCACGCCATTCTCAACAAATAGATAAATATGTACACAGCTCCATGCTTTCAGCTATACTCTACACACTCCCTAGGCCGCAGCGGCTGCGGCTGCTTGGTTGATCCTTGTCCACTGTTCAACGTCCACGAACGTGACCACAATATCGTCAGCGATGGAAACTCCGGCTTCTGCAATTGATAACCTTGCAGCACTTGGTCTGCCGCTGAAAAACCCAGTGTGTGCTCTTTCCCATGTTGCGATTACGTTCTTGGATTGATCAGTTAGCTGGGAAAACTGGTTAGCCCCTTTCGACATGGGACGTTAAAAGTTGAGACGATACCTCTTGGTTTCCGTTCGACTTTTGCTTCCAAGTATATTTTTGTCCATCCGAAGCGACAAACGATCGTCCACTATAGCTCCATCAGTGAAATCACAGACTGATATGTAGATATCGCCGTACTTCTTGAAGAACCCATCCGATTTCGGTGGCATATCCTTTCCCCAGACTTTACATACATCTGTTCTCGCATAAAGCTCGACGAGGCCCATATATTCTGGTTCTCCATCCTTATGATATTTTTTGATGACGGTTGTTTCCGCCAACAATGATTTCTTGGTGGTAGAGACTTCGTAGATGGGCTCGTCGGGCCGGGTCATGAGGGAGAGAGTGCAGTTTCGCACATCGTCTTTGGAGAAGATGAAATCCATGATTGTTTTTTGCGATGTTGAATGAGAGCTATAGCCTTTTTATATGCACTAACTGCTGTTGCAAATGTATTGCTGTGTAAGGCTGTACGCTCATGTGCGCGCCCCGCTTTGATAAAATCACGACACCATCAATGTGATATACATCTACTCTGGCTCATGTTTATACCCTCCTTCCTTCTGACTTCTAAACACTCACCTGAGATCGTAGAGGTTCATAGGGTAATGCATTGGGAATCTTCCTTGAGTAAGAGACCATATCTACTCCGCCCTTGCGGTTTAAAGCCTCATGAGTCATTTTTTACTCGCATCGTAAGTACCTCTTAACGTCTAGAAAATGTCTGGACTCTACACCTATCATGACGCTCAGAAGCATAGTCTACCCGACGACAACCGCAGCAGCATCGCCTGTCTTTTTCTTGATGGTAGCCTCAGCTGCTCACGACTCTATCCCGCTCGACACGCAAATAACTCAAGCACACCCTTTCTTGAACCAACTTCCGCCTCGATTTCAAATTCCTCGCACAGCATTTCCAGTCACCGAAAACCCCGGTACGGTGACATCATCTCCCCTAGGCAGAATCTCAGCCGCTCGCTAATCTACCTTATACTATGTGCTCAACCTATAGTTCACATTGAGCACTTCAAAGTCACATTACACGAAGAGTTAAGTCAGATTTTGTACTGATAAGATGTCTCTAGACACCTAGCAGACCGTAGACATCGATGCCTAAAGTATCGAAAAGGGTGTAATGGTGTAATGGCAGTCTTCCAAAGCATCCGCTGGTCGTGGCACCTTTATGGCTTGATACCGATTTTCAGCAGGGCAACCCAGCGTGCCGACAACTTAGTGAATTCATGGGGACATTACGTTGAGGTGAATGACAAGGTACCGAAAACGTCTACGAGCCGGACTATAATGATACGCCCCCAATTTTTTATCATGTGTCCAACTTCCACTTTGAGACAACGTCAGCTTCGGCAGTTGGAGCGTCTACAGGGCGCTAAAACTCTATAAACAGCAAGCTTTCTTTCATGAGGATGGCGCTGACAATCACAATGCATGCTCGTATTCCGGTGGAAGATCTAACACATTACTCCCGCTACCACTATCAATCTCTGAGGGCGGAGGCCCTGGTCTCCACCCGCTGTCATTGTGTCTTCGTATCCGAGGTGGGGATCTAATTGCCCCGGTGACAGTATCAGTGGGATTGTTATCATTCCTGTTTACTGGGGGCTTGGTGGATTCGACATTAGGATGGGGTGTAAGGGTGAATAGCGCATCGAGTGGAAGAGGAATGGTCCGGTTTTTTGATTCACGTCGTTTTCGAAGGAAGTATACGCCCACGACGAGGATTAGTGCGATGAAGCAAATTGGTCCAATAATGGCACCGATGATGAGTGCACGATTGGATTTAGATCTGTGAGCCGTTAGCGGTTGTGATTGAAGAACTGGGATTGACTCACGTTGGCTCCGGGGAATCAAATATCGTGGATCTATGTATGCTTTTAGTAGTTGTAATTCAAGGAACGTGAATCGTTTACGTTGGCTCTGGTATCGGATTATTGGAATGGGATCTGCGCGTGTCTTTAGCGGTTGCGATCAAGAAAATAGGATTCATTCACGTTGGTTCTTGCGAATTAGATATCGGATTATTGGATGTGGATCTGTGTGTCTTTAGCGGTTGCAATTCAAGGAATAGGATTCACTGACGATAGTCCTGGTGTCGAATTGTTGGATTTGGTTCTGCGTGTGCGTTCAGCTTTTGAAACTATAACTAAGGGAATGGAATAGATTTACGTTGAGTTTGGGGAATTAGGTATTGAGTCATTGGACTTGGAACTGCGCGTGCCTTTGGCGGCTGTGATTACAGGATTGGAGTTGACTCACGTTGGTTCTGGGGAATCAGATATCGTGGATCTGTGTGCCCCTTTAGTGGTTGCAATCCAGGGAACGTGATTCATTTACGTTGATTCTGGTATCGGACTATTCGGTTTGGACCTGCGCGTGCTGTTAGCGTTCATAATTACAAGAGTGGGATTGATTTACGTTGGGGTTTGGGAACTAGTTGTCGGGACAGTGGATCTGGATCTGGATGTGGCTTTAGCGACTGTGATTGCAGAATTGAATTAACTCACGTTGGTGAAGTAGAACTAGGCGTCGTATGATCGGGATCCTTTACCCGGATTGGAACATTGAACCTATCGAGATCTACTCCATTGTTCACACTGCCCAAGGGATATTATGAAGGTCCTGTAATAAAAAAAGAAACAGCTCAAACGACGTACCTTTCATCATTCCAAACAACCAGATTGTAGCTCCTAAGCCAGTGTTATCCGCAATAAATCATTTTTTACAAAGAAAAAATACCCCAGGGGTACAGGTTCGAAGTTCAAGTCCAACGGAGAACTTCTGGAATCGACAGCCTGACTGAACGCGACTGGGATATTGTCAACGCCAAATGTCATCAATGCAAATTGAAAAGAGCCGTCTGCTTCTGCATGCCATGTAATATGGAGCCGAATCGTTGAATCCTTCAGCTCAGCCGAAATAGGATCGACATTATCGATAGTTACGTTGAAACCCCATGACGATACTGGAGCTATACTGAAAGAACTGTTAAAGGCCATCGTATCGACGCATATACGAAGCAGAAACCCGCACCATAATATAGCCAACCATCGCATTATTGCAGGTAGCTGGAGTCGTGATATGGGAAGGGATTAAACAGTACTGAACTAGCCCCATCCCGCTGATGATTTTATTTGCTACTCCATCTGATCATCACCTATCAACTGAGGTGGTCCGTTCTTTTTGTTACGAATAGTGATACACTGAAGATGATCATCAAGGAGGATAGAATTGAATCGTGATGAGGTTTCTCCATCGACATAGTCTCTTGATCATGATTTGCGGCGACAATGTGCAGTGAGAACCAAAGAAGCTGTCACGTAGAAGCTGAGAGGCTCTTATTGTGAATCCGAGTCAGGCTTCAGATAGGTGAAAACATTGACCATGCTGAAGGATTGGGCACCAGCCTGGACGTTGATTGCAGGGAAAAAATGCCCTCAAGGTTAAAGGTCGCCCTTCTCTTTCTCCAGTATACGGCTGCCTGAGATCTGTAGGATGGCAACCTAGTGACTTGTGATGATGGTTGTCGAGAAGAAATGCGACCATGTGGATATCACAGCGAAGAGCCATATAGAACTTATGGACCAGCGTCACCAAAACCCTCAAGAAGCGACAGGCGGCGAGGACTCGGAATCTTAACCTTGTCTTAACCTGTCGCTAACATGTTCACAGTCCAGCTTATCCGATGATAGGAGCGTCTAAAGGGCGCTAATATTTCCATAAATAGCAAGCTATTTCTCTGCTGTGGGGAGATAGGTATAACAGTTCGGTGTCAGTTGTATCATTCACTTGTGATGATGGTCGTCGAGAGAAAATGGGACCGCGTGACTATCACAATGACGAGCGATATAGAACCTATGGATTAGACTTACCAAAACGTCAGCCAGCGAAGAGTTGGGTGGCAGAAAACGATCAGAATATCTTCATCCTTGAACATGCCACCGTAACCGTCTAGCGTGACACTCAATACCTAATCTCCTCCACGCATGAGGGACACAAGTTCCGAGTAATATCTTTCCAAAGACCGTCCTTATATCGGCCAATCCCAAACAAAATCAGAAGAATCTAAATAAAGACACGCAGCCACCCACGATCCGAGACTCCCTGGCTAGGCAGGGGTATATACTATGTATCAGGGGAGCCCACTATTGCGAAGCATAGGTCAATCAGGGTATCGAGGTTACGAAAGGATACGCGTAACGATAACAAAAATAATCGAAACCTTTCGCGCCAAGTCAATCTCATACCTCGTGTACCATCTTATCTCGAACCCCAAGGTTGGCGATGTTAAACAGTTATAAATCTAGTAGACTGTAGAAAGATGATCCTCAGCACAAGTCCGGTTCATCTGCGGGAATCCACACGCCGCTGTCTCGTGGATCTCAGACCAAATCCCAACTACTTATTCTGCTGATCGGACAAGTCTGTGGATAGATCTGAGTCCATCAAACAGCGATGTCTAAGTAGTGGCAAAAACATCTACGAGACAGGACGGCTAACTACCTGGTAGCATATCGGCTAGTAGCACACAAGCCTGTCATAAAGGTGTTCGCGTGAACACTGGGTTCGATTCCCAGCCAGGGAGATAACGCGTGGTTATCTGTGAGATTTTATGCTCAAATTTATCTCAAAGTGTATGGTAACAGGGCATACTCTACATCTCCGTTCCTCGTCATACGCCCAATAGCACAGAGTGGCTATTCCAGAGACCTCAACGAGTAAATGTCGATCTTGCCATTATGGGTCAACCTCAACCACTACCTGGATTTACAAGTAAGCCTGTACCCGTAAATCCATGAAATGAGCTGCTCTCACTGCCACTTTGAACTGCGACCTCAATTTGACGCCGCGATAAGTAGAGATGTCAAGTAACACTTATCGTCTAATTTACGTTGAGTGTATAGGTGTCAAAAGTGACCCACCCTCAGTCTATGCAAATACTCCCTTGTGTTTCCAAAGTCCGTCACAAAAAGAAGACAAAAGATTATGACAAAATTTTCACATCTTCCATAGATCCCCCTGGCTGGGAGTCGAACCCAGTTTTCGCGCGCGTTCAGTTATTGTTTTCCCGTGATAGGCGCGTGTTTAACTGATATACTACCAGGGATGCTTACCGTCAGTCCACTTGGATAAGTTATCACACGTCGCATAGATTAAGAGACTACAATAACCACAGGAAAGGAAACGGGTACTTTCGCGTCAAGTCAAGCTCATACCTCAAATTTCCAAACATTTTTAATTCCAGGACATGTTCGTGTACTAAACTTACGTTCTTCTTTCACTTTGAATCACTCGACCGAGGACTAATGTGATAAGTTCTCAGTCTAAGTGTTGAAATACACCCACCCCACGTGTTTACAAAGTCTATACTCAAAGAAAAGACCACAACAAAAGAAGCCACGAAGATATACCATCTCCCTGGCTGGGAGTCGAACCCAGCTTTGGCGCGCAATTCCCACTCTAAACCTCTAATGACAGGCGCGTGTACTGACCGATATACTACCAGGGATGCAGTCTCATCGTTCACGCAGTGGGTTTATCGATCAGGGTATTTAGATTAAGATTAGGGGATACAATATACAACGGGAAGCCCATAAAATACGGAACAACGAAACCTAAGACCGGCACTGAGTAGGTGGGGGCGGAGTGACGGTGTCGCAGCTGCCGTACTGGTCACAGGTAGGAGGTGGAGGAGGTGTGTCGCAGCCGCCGTATTGGTCGCAGGTAGGTGGAGGAGAAGGGGGTGGGGTGTCTTCATCGCAGCCCCCGTACTCTTCACAACGTTTCTCTCGAGGCGGGCAAGAACCGTATTCGTCGCAGCTGTTGGTAGGAAGAGCAGGGGCGTCACATCCACCATACTGGTCGCAGTCGTTGGGAGGGGGAGGTGTCTCACAGCCGCCGTACTGGTCACAGTCGTTTGTAGGAGGAGGGATGTAGGTATCGCAAACGTCGTATTGATCACACTGCAAGTAAACATGTCGATGAGCTGACGGTTTGAGGATATATGGATGATAACGCACCGAATCAGACCATACACATCCGAATCCGACCTCTTCATCTTGAGAACAGCACCCGATATGGAGAGAGCGTAAGCGGTCAGAGTCATGAGGGTGAGGAGCTACGTGGGGCATTGTTAGCGTTTGTGGGGAAGGCAGACGGAGTAGGTCGTACCTTCATATTGGAAAGAGAGGTGGTGATGAGGTAAAAGATAGATGGAGCCCCCACGGTCAAGGAGACATTGAAGGCGTGGAAGGTTGGTTTTGAGTGGGTGTTTCGTTTTGGGGTGTCGAAGGCATCATGTGTGTTCAATCCTTCCGACGACAAGACCTTCCATATCGATCAAGTAGCCATTTCATCGTTGCATCTGATGTCCTCGTCCCCTGGTTTCATCTCATAGACCTTCTCTCCTACACATCGACCAGTTGCGTTCCATGAAGGGGTGTCGTGGCAATTGGTGGTTCTTTTCCTCCTAGTCTTGTCCCATGAAAGCGTTGTTTAGGTTTTTGAGCCAAGGCCAGCGTTGAGTGGCATTGAAAGAGTGGATCGATGTTGTGGGGAACGGCAAAAGTCGTCAACGTAACCCAAACCCCAACGGAATGGTTTCTCCCACGCCTCAAACAACGGGTCACCATTGCCAAAGCTGGCTCCCTGGTAGTATATCTGTTAGTCCCATCGTGTGATTGGGATATTAATTCAGCTGTTGTTCCTGTATCCGCCTTGACGTCAATATTAACACCTCACACTCTTATCAAGGCATTCCCTGGTAATATACCGTTTACTGCGTTCGACGTGAATATTTCGAGCTATATATATAACGCTGAACTCTCAGAGCCAGGCGTCCTTTTCATTTCGGGCTGTGCGACAGTGAGGTTATTATCGTGTTCGGGACAGATGAGCGGGGCATAAGAAGCCGATCAGAGGTCTCATTCACAACAAATGAGTACTCCCTTATGGCGTACGGTTTCATACATAAAGATATAAAACTAGTATATTTTTACTCCAACTGCGCAGGGGTCTAACTTATGGGATAATTCATTCACTTGACTGTCTGTTTTTTGTCACCCATTGGGCACGTAGGATTAACCATTCCCGTTCCCTCACGGGTTCTCCTACGAGTCACTAGTGGTTCTTTTAGAAAATGTTCCTTAATATCCGAGGTTCTTTGATTGTCATGTCCTTCTATCGCCGCGGATTATCAGATGGGCTTTGAGAGGACGAAGTAGTCAAGATATCGGCTCTACAAGTCAGAAAAACATCAATCCCCGATAGTATACTGGTCAGTACACGCGCATATTGTGAGGTGGGAAAACGACAAGCTTGCACGCGCGAAATCTGGGTTCGATTCCCAGCCAGGGAGCTGAGAAATTGTATAGTGATTGAACATTTTTTTTTCCGAGTCCTCAGTATACTGTCCCCTAAAACACGCAGCTTGATCATCCTTCAATGAGTTAGTTATTTCTCGATTCTCTAGATTTCCTTGGTCAGCATGAATTGGCTCGCGAAACCTGAGCTTTATTCCTGCTGAGGAAATAGTTCTTTTCAACTCCACTCCCAATGTGTTCGGCTTAAACTGATAATCGATAGTCACTCTCGTTTCAAGTGGCCCTTGATATTTCAAGAATCCAATGCCAGGTAGCGCAATTGCAGTACGACGGAGGAGACGAATTCGAGGTCAGAATGAAAGATGCTCCAACAATCAATCCCTGGTAGTATATGGGTCAATACATGCGTCCATCATGCGTTGATAGGTGATAGAGTCATAGGCGCGACAGCTGGGTTCGATTTCTGTCCCATCAGGAGTGTGTACAAATATGGATTCCTATATCCAAATGACGAAGAATCGGTCGAATATAACAGCCGCTACTCCCTTTTTCGGGGTGTTCCTTAATGTCCTGGGTTCTCTGATGCACATGGCCTTCTATCGCCACAGGTTATCGGATACGATGGACATCGATTGAGACAACGGCTTCAGTAGTCGGTCAACCAGGAATCCCTGGAAGAATAGCGACACTTATCATAGGTTATGAGTACAACCTCGCAGACGCAAAATCTGGGTTCGACTCCCAGCCAGGGAGATATACTCGTTTGATAACCATAGTTTTTGTGTTCGATTCGCAGCCAGGAAGCTTAGGAAATGTTTTTGTATCCTCAGGGGGTCTGGCCTACGTTGTTGTATATAGTACACTTCATCTGACTTTCATCGACTCGCAAGGGCTTTTTCTGTCGCGCTACAACTCCTTGCTGTAACTCGCGATGTACTTTATCTCCTTCGGGATGAAAGTGTGTAACAGTAACTCAGGTTGTTGTGATTAGTCACTATCTTCCGAGTTGGTCAAAGGTGTATTGATATCTGGGATTGTATGATGATTCAAGACATCTGCTTTATATTCCCTGATCCCATCACAATGCATGCTCGTATTCCGGTGGAAGATCCAATACATTACGCCCGTTACCACTATCAACCTCCGAGGGAGGCGGTCCTGGTCTCCACCCACTGTCATTGTGTCTTCGTGTGCGAGGTGGAGACCTAATTGCTTCGGTGACAGCAACGGCGGTACTGTCATCATTTGTGTTTTGTGGGAGCTCATTTAATTGGATTTTACGATGAGTTTTAGCAACACATGGCGCATCGAATGGACGCAAAACGGTTCGGTCCATTGATTCACGTCGTTTTCTAAGGGAGTATACGCCCACGACGACGATTGATGCAATGAAGAAGACGGGTCCAACAATGGCGCCGATGATGAGTGAATGGTTGGGTTTGGATCTGGGTGTGGGTTTAGCGGTCGTGATTCAAGAAATGGGATTGACTCACGTTGATTCTTGGGGGTTAGATATTGGATTATTGGATGTGGATCTGTGTAGTCTTCAGTGGTTGTAATTCAAGGAATGTGATTTGTTTACGTTGGTTCTGGTATCGGAATATTGGAGTTAGATCTGCGTAGACTTTCTGCGTTTGTAATCTTAAATGAGCGAATGAAATTCATTTACGTTGGGTTTGGGGAGCTAGTTATCGGATCATCGAATACAGATCTGCACATGCATTTAGCGGCTGTGATTACAGAAATGGGATTGACTTACGTTGGTTCTGAGGTAGTCAGCGAGATAGAGGGATTCCTCGCCTCAATCATAGCAGAGAATGTACCGAGAGTCACGCCATTGTTTGAGCTATCCAAGTGATATAATGACGGTCTAGTAGTGATAGTCTGCCTAAAGAACGCACACATCATTACTCCACGCAACCAAAGAGTAGTTCCTAAACAAGTATTATGAGCAATGGACAGTTCCCTGTAATGGACACATACCCCGGGGATACAGACTCGAATTCGAAGCCCAACGCGGAACTTGTGGAATCAATAGGCTTCATGAATGCGATTGGGAAATCATCAACACCAGGTTTCTTCAATGCGAATCTAAACGAGGTGTCACGGCTGTCTGCACGCCATGTAATACGGAGCCAAATGCTTCCATTCTCCAGCTCAGCCGAAGTAGGATCGACATTATCGATAGTTACCTTGAGACCCCATGACGACAGCACAGCTATACTGAAGGAACCGTTGAACGCCGACGTTTCAACGCATACGTGAAAAATGGGCACGCACCATAATAAAGAAAACCATCGCATTTTGCAGCTGGCGAGGGTTGTGATATGGGTTAGTCGCCCCTTCGCTGGCGACTTTATTCAGATACTCCACCTGTCGACTGAGGTGATTCGTTCGTCTGGCTACAGATCGTGACATATTGGAAGATGATCATTGAGCTGGATGGAATCGAGTAGTGATCTGCGACCATCAGCATAGGTTTTGATCTACGGTACCAGGATGCAGCGAGAACCAAAAAAGTTGCCATGTAGAGTTTTTACTGTCAATGCGAGTCAATGAAAATGCAAAAAAAGATGGGACACAATTCTGTGCTTTGATTGCGGGGAGAAAGGCCTAAAAAAAGGGTTGCATCAGTATACAGTTGCCTGATACCTGTGTGGTAGTAGCCAAGGGACTCGTGATGATGGGTATCGTGAAGAAACACGACCGTGTCGCTATCAAGGTGAGGTGCCATATAGAATTTATGGGTTAGAGTTACCAAAACGTTCAAGAAACAACAGTTGTCTAAGAATGTGGTAGCGTAAACGGTCAATTACGATCCGAATACTATATCCTCATCCCTGAGCATGCCACCCTGACTGCCTAAAGTCGCTGTCAGTACATACCCTATCTCACAAGTCCAAGATTAACGAACTTGGATTGCTGTGTTTCCGAAGGCCGTGCAAAAAGTTACATTGTACTTATTCATCTCCCTGGCTGGGAGTCAAACGCAGCTTTCGCGCGCAATTCTCACTTCGAAACCTCCTATGACAGGCGCGTGTACTAACCGATATACTACCAGGGATGCTGCCTTTTTGTTCACGCAACAAGATCTATGAATTAGGGTATTTAGATTAAGATTAGGGATACAGTATACAGCAGGAAGCCCATTGAAAACCCCGAGACGGAGACTAATAACTCTCCTCGG